CAGCAATAATTCCAGAGTACCCAGAGGCCCATCCAACGGTGAGCTAAGCGATTCATAATTTGGATGCCACCTGACTGTTTCCTGCTAGCTTGCCGGAATGAATATGAAAAGAATTAGAATTCGAGGAAAAGAACCAGGTTCTGGCTTTCGGTATATTTATTAGAAACACAGTTTCTAACAAAGCCAGGCCTGCTCTGACAGGTGACACTCAAATTCGACGCACCGAGTGCCATTTCATATGTCATGTGCTGCTCTCCTTAATGACACCAAGAAGATGCTGTATGCCACGTGGGGCACAGTCCCATCCCCAGGATGGGGGGAAGGAAATGCTAATTACAAATGAGCTCACAGGGCAAGTGCTTGATAAATGGAGCTGAGAAAAAAGGCCCTGAGCCTCCTGTCCGCTCTCCTCTGTCTCTGTTACAGGAAAGAGATTGGAAAAGGCAACCTGACGTCTCATTTTTGGTGTCACCTGGACTTTTTAAGATTTCCCCTTATAGACCCAGCCGTGCGGGTGGCTGGGATCATCCCGGGGGCTCACGCAGAGGAAGAAGACGTGTACCCAAGTATCTTGACTGTCTTCCAGTCCGCTTCTTCCTCCAGTGGCCAGGCACCAGGGTCACCAGCACGCGCCCAGGGAGGGCCAAGTCAGGGACCCTCCATCCCTGGGGTAACAGGGTGCCCCGAGGGCCAAGTGAGCCCTACGTAGACACTTGGCAGGCCTGCACTGACCCAGCAGACATCAGTCCGCCCTGGGATTGGGGCGTGGGCGTGGGGATGAAGCAAGGTTACCACTCCCTGCCCTGACGTTGCCCTGACTGGTAAGGAAGAGCCCATCTTCCCTAGAACCAGGAGGCCTCCCAGAATGTTCCCCTCTCCTTACTGACGGCTCCAAGAGGCTCTCTGCCCATCCCTTGCCCTTCTGTGCGGAGTTCATATTTTCTGAACTGTTCTGAAGTTCATATTTTCCTACGTATGAGCTGCTTCTTTGTTGGCAGCCTACACCCACTTCCCCGTGCGGGGGCCACGGGTTTGAGGTGAGGTTGACTCTCTTCCAGACTGTGGGACTGGAACACAAGGCCTGGAGGAGGCCAGTTAGCGCTTCCCACCCCCTGCTGTCAGCGACTGGCCCGAAGGACTCACGACCCAAGGCGGGCTTATGGGGACCAATGAGGTTCAATGCCTGAGCTGTTGAATGGTTGAGCGTCTCCCAACACCGGGTACCCAATGTGGCAGGGGATACCTACGACCTAAAATTGAAACAGCCTCTTTATTTTTTATTTTTTTTCATGTGATGCTCTCTTTTAAACTTCCTAAAATTGATAATATTTGCAACCCTTTTGTCCTGGTCAGTCTGACAAACGTATTGACATTTCAAGTAACAAGCTTTTGCTTTCACTGATGTTTCTCAATTATGTTTCTGTTCTCAATTTCATTGGTCTCCACTTTTAAGCGTGAGGATGTCTTTTCTTCTGTCTGCTTTGGGTTTGATTTGCTCCTTTTTTCTAGTTGGAGTCTGTTAGGCTTCATAGTGGAGTCAGGGGAGGAGGTCGGGGAAGGAGGAGTGGGCATCGTGCCTTTACCCCAGGGGGGGCTGCTCGTCTCCAGCAGGCTGCGCCGGGAGGGCAGGAGGGCGGCTTTCTCATGCCTTGACCTGCCCTGATCCTGCTGGTGAGCACCCAGTGAGATCTGCGCAGAAGAGCAGGTGCTCTCGCGGGCTCTGTGCTCCCACGCTGGTCCACACTTGGCCTTTAGCACTTTGTAAACATTTTGGTTTCATTCCCCTTGCCTGGCTTGTCTTGCATCCCATTCTTCTGCTTCAGGTCAACAAGGGCTTGCATCCTATCTCTCCTTGGATGATCTTTCTCTGTTGATCTTTTTTTTTTTTTTTTTCATTTAAAAACATTGGTAGGGGCCTCTGGGTGGCTCAGTGGTTGAGCATCTGCCTTCGGCCCAGGGCGCGATCCTGGGGTCCCCGCAGGGAGCCTGCTTCTCCCTCTGCCTGTGTCTCTGCCTCTCTCTGTCTCTTATGAATAAATAAATAAAATCTTAAAAAAAATAACTCTTGAGTTTTTTATGTTTTGCTATTGTTGTGGAGGAGTTATAGGATTGTATGCAGAATATTTCTCCATTTTGTGCAAAATCACAGTGGATGTCTGTGATTTATTGTCTAATTGTCTTTATCCCTAAAGGTGAATCAGGATCAATTTAATGAATTCCACTTAGATTTTAGTGTCAGGATTATGTTTCTCTTCGAAAGCCATGTTGGCTTTGCCTTATCACATAATGAGAAATGTAAAACTTGTCGTGGTTTCCTTATTTCCTTGGCTGTGGAGAGGCTAAATATAGCTTTTAATTGGATTAACTAACTAATTGTATGTCTCTGGAATATTTATTTCTCTTCTCCTTTTCCAAAAGATTTCTGACTTTTTTTCGCCTTTATTTTCCTGAAAAAGAAAGTTATGAAACAAAAATGTCTATAGTATGATGTCAGACGTGTATTTTGAATATCGACACTTGCAAACTATTTAAAAATCATTAAAAATTTTTAAAAATTACAGAAAGCTCTCATGGACACCTTCCATATCAGTACATGTAGGGCTGACTTCTCTCTAAGCCTTTTCAAGAAATCTGTGACAGGGACGCCGGGGAGGCTCAGTGGTTGAGCATCTGCCTCCAGCTCAGGTCGTGATCCCAGGGTCCTGGGATCGAGTCCCACGTCAGGCTCCCTGCATGGAGCCTGCTTCTCCCTCTGCCTGTGTCTCTGCCTTTCTTTGTGTGTCTCTCATAAATAAATAAACAAAATCTTTAAAAAAGAGAGAGAGAGAGACCTGTGACAAAATACAGCAAAATAGACTAAATGTACAGGAAAGCCATTAAAGTGTAAATTATTCACGCTTTCTGTAAGGATGTGCGGAAACGGTAGGGAGGAATGGTAAATGGTTTCTCTTAGTCTTTAAACCTCTGTATTGCTTGAACTTGTGAGCCTGTTTTCATTTTGTTATGATAAAAGAAAGGATGTAGGAGAAAAAGAATAAAGGATAGAACAAACCTATATAAGTAAGTGTAATCTAAGATACAGATGGCTGGAAGCACTCGGAAACACGATGCTAAAATTCACCAGCAGTCGCCAAACACCCTCATCCTGTGCTCTTACAGAATTGCTTTTTTTCTAAGAGATGCTTTCTATCAGCTACAGACATTTGAGATTCACCAAATAATTTCCTGTCTGTCAAGTGTCGGGGCAGAGGCTCGTTGTGGGTCCGGCTGCAGGAGGCTTTCATAAATGAGCTTAAAGATACTTTCCAATTCTAAGATTCTAGATCCAATTCTCACTCTACTGACAATCTCTGACCTGTCCTATGGGCCCTGAACGTAACAGATCAATGTCAAGACAAATTAAGCACACAAGGCCTCTTATAAACAATGTCTCTGTGTAAGGGGAGCCTGCATTTTAATTCAGTTACATAAATCCCCATTAAAGAAATCTAAGGAAAGAAGTTATGTTTGGGGATCACTTAGAGGCGAACATTATTTTCAGAGCAAGGCCAAAGAGACATCGATTCTTTGTGTAATTAAAGTCGCGATCATCTTCACTATGCCTATATTTATAAGCATTCACTAAAAAGTCTTCCCCGTGAAGGGCTTCTCTTCACTCCTATTAACTCTAGCACTCTTTTTTGATGATTTCCTTTTTGAAAAATTCTTCAGTTCAGTTTGGGTGGGCACGTGTCCGTCGCTGACAAACACGTACACAAAACCCTTCGCACGTTGCCCTCTGGAACCTACTGTCATTATCCAAAGGCAGGGTTCAACCTTGCATTAGGAAAAGAGGTATTTTGGGTTGTGTGAATGGTTATTAGTATTCATGCATAATTCAAGCCTGCCTACCCGCCAGGTTGTCTAGAGTTGCAGAGGACTGGAGATGGGGATGCAGGATTTGAAAGTCAATCGAAATATTTCAAAAGTAACTGCATAATGGTAGAGAGAGCTCAACAAAAGAAATTGTTCATGACCGGCAGCCCCGTGCACACTCACGTTATGAAATTAAAGGGCATTGGAAGGAGTGTGGCTGGGGACCCCGGCTATCCTAATGGGTGGTGAAGTCAAGGTCATACCACAGACAGCCGGTGTGGCCCACAAGACTTGTTCTCCTATTATCTAAGAATTTAAGAGACCCATGATGCGCTGCTTAATAAATGTCTATGATGCAGCCACCCTCGGGCAATAGATGTACTTTATAGTTTTAAAAAAAACAACAGCTCATGAATAAACAATGGGTCTAATGCGAAACCCCTCAGGCTGGAGATCCAATTTGGAGCCAGCCACTCCCCGACCCTCCCTCCGCATATTAAGAAAAAGCAAATCATATGGACACTCAGTATCTTCAGCCTGGAGCTTGAAAGGCTGTCCTTTCTTGGCCTTAGAAGCAAGTCTACCATAAAATCCTACAGAGAAGCAAAACAATTAGTAGGTGGTAAAGTAATCGGTGAGACAAGATCATAATAAATATGGATTTTCCAGACTCTACTGTCGTTGCCACTGTCGTATGGGGGGATGGCCAGCTGGCTCCCTGGGTCTGAGGGGCCGGGGCGGGGAAGACCCCTAAAGTCTACACTGGCTTCCAGCTCTAGGATTCTACAAGGGTTCCTGGACTCCTTCTCCTCCCTTAGCTGAGGGGAAGAACATCTGTTCTGTCCTTCTGAGCCACTGGCAAGAATTCCTCCCCATAGAGGCAGGGCCTGCAGACCTGCTGCTGGCCCCATGAGACCCGCCTTTGTCCACCAGCAGTTGCTTCTACGGTGTTCTCTGATGGGGTAAACAGAAGGCACTACGGGTCTCCCCCAAACCTCTCCAACCTTCTCAGTTTAGGATCATTGATGCCTGGTAGAGCTGTAGAACTTATTTATCATTATGATTCTTTATCTCAAATGAAAATTGTTTATTTCACAATTTGAGAAAATGTTTCTTTCCTTTTTTTTAAGATTTTTATTTATTTATTCATGACACAGAGAGAGGCAGAGACACAGGCAGAGGGAGAAGCAGGCTCCCTGTGGGGAGCCAGATGTGGGACTCGATCCCAGGACTCCGGGGTCACACCCTGAGCTGAAGGCAGACGCTCAACCACTGAGCCACCCAGGCGTCCCTGAGAAAACGTTTCTGCTACAACTTTCTTCAGAAGTGCGAACAGGGCACCCTAGATTCACCTGAGATTCAAAAACACGTGAGGCGTGTTCCCTGGTGCTCAGACCCCACACGGCAGAAACGGAGGGCCTCTTGTTTTCCAGACCTGGGAACCTAAGTGTCTTGAGGTTTGACCAAATGGCTTGTCGCTTCCCAGCAGAGGTAGACCCCTAGAGGTGACCTAGAGCCAGCGCCACCAAGGGCCCAGCCTGCGAGAGCCGACGGTGGGACCTTCCAGGATTTGGCCAGCACTGTACATGCAACCATCTTATAAATTAAATGACGCAAACGTGCAATTAAACAAATCATATTAAGAACGAAGACAACAAATGTTCCAAACGTCTCCCTTTCCCAATATTTGACTACAGGTTCCTCACCTCTGCTTTGAGGCTGTTTATACCCCTTGTTTCTACGAGATGCAACTGGACTCTGTGACCCCGTGTTTCAGAATCTCTTCCCAGCTCTGCTTTAGCAACACCCGGTTAGTAGATTGAAATCGACCTCATGGGGAGTGTTTATACCACAGGAAGCAGTCAATGCTGCAAAACGAGGCTTTTTCCCACCCCGGAAGATCCACTCATTAAACATTCACCAGCACAGCACCGATCTGCAACCAGAACGCGAGTCATGGTTTAGGGATAAGTGCGTGTTCTGACACCAGATCTCCAGGCCCCACATATGAAACTTCGTGCAACACAACAGTTTCAGGGGAGGCCTGGTGTCCGGTAGCTGACTGCTGAGCATGCCAGCCCGCAGCTTTGAGCCCCAGCTCCTCCCAATCCCATGTCCAAGGCTGACGACGGTCAGAAGGGGCAGAGGGACCAGGAATTCAACCAATGGGGCAGTTTAACACCTGGGAGATGGGACTGTCCGTTTTTACACCATCAGCTACTCAAAGCCCATGTTGGCAATCACTTTTTAGCCCCCTGGAAACCTTTCTATTTTTTAAAGAGTTTATTTTTAAATAATCTCTACCCCCCACCTGAGGCTCGAGCTCATAACCCTGAGATAGAGAGTCGCATGCCCTTCCAACCGAGCCAGCCAGGGGCCCCAGGCTCTGAGACTTTAAATAGAAGTTTGGGCCATGTATAAAACAGACCCAAGCCTTGTGGCTCCATGACCAAGTGGGAAGGGGCCCAGAACGCACTGCCCCCTCCCCCCACCCCGGCTCTCTATCACCCTTCTCCGCCCCAGGACGCAGAGCTCGGAAACCTCCATCACAAGGAGCAGTAGCCAAGAACAGTTGATGATTGGTGTTGAAATGCACACAGCTGCCTCGCTTCCACCTACGTAGGTAGGTCCCCCGCAGAGCGGTTCACAGAGGTGGCTGGTTTCACTCGACAGCCCCAGCTCCTCCACAAGGAGGACCTGTGTCAAGTAGAAAGAGGCATTTGGTTAAATGAGCTGTGGGCCCAGGAGAGCAGCAGGAATCCCACACCGACAGCAGGGAAGGGGCTCACCACGGTCCATCGGGGCCCAGGTGCAGCATCCTCTGTGTGGATGAGCAGGAGGCCCCAGGAGAGAACGTGGGGATGGTTGAGTCTTGGAAATGTCCAGACATGTAGCCAGCACCTTGGGAGAAAAATCCCAGCCTTCCCAATCATCCCAGCGAGATAAGTAAGGTCACGGGTGTACCTTCCCTGGGGGCTCCTCCCGAATGATCCACTAGACTCTCGATGAGCCAGCAGATGGGTGCATGGGGCGAGGTTGACCCCAGATCCGTAGTGGGGAGATAACCACAGAAACGTGTGCAATACTGTCAACCCTGCCGCATGTCCTTACCCCGACAGGTGTCATCAAAGGCACATGCATCATCAATCCGTGGCCCAATGGCTTCCTCTCATCACTCTGAGGGCCTCCAGTTCTGTGCCTTTAAACCTGTGAGAGTGAGTTAGAGATGAACAGGGCTAGGCACCACTAGGTAGGGGGGCCATGGGAGTGGGCTCACAAACCCCCCCCCAAAAACGCTGAGGTGTAAGGAAACCAGAGGTAAAGGAGCAAGCCAGACCACCCTGCCCTAAGGTGTGGGTGGGGAGGGTCTTGTTATAACAGCTACTTGCGACCAAAGAAGAAGCAAGCCATTAAAGATGTTATCAATAGTCCTTACTCTATGGTGAGGTCAATGGATACAAGGATTTAGGTTCCCTGATTAGACCAACCCTACCAGCCTCAGGGCAACCTGTGGGGACCCCTCTCACCCCTGAGAGCTTTCTCCATATCCTGACTTAATAAACTTCTAACCCCGGATGGAGTCCCTGGTCGGGCTCACCTCAGGGAGCCTGCTTCTCCCTCTGCCTGCCTCTCTGCCTCTCCGTGTCTCTCATGAAAAAATAAATTAAATCTTTAAAAAAATAAATAAATAAACTTCCACCCCTTTACTCACTCTTCTGTGTCTGCGAGATTCATTCATTCATTCTTTGACCCCAGGAGACAAGAACCAAGCTCTCCCGCCTTCAAGGGAGTCGTAGCCTACCCTGCCTTCATAATTAGCCACATGTGCATGGTTTATGGCTTACGCTTTTCCCAATAGTCAAGCCTTCTGAAGACATGCAGAGTCGACCACGGTTGAGCATTGGGCAGACGTGTTTACTTTCTCAGGATTTCCTTAGCCTTCTTGCACCAGTTCTGTGTGTGTTTCTCAGAAAGCAGTTCTTGCTGCTGCTGCTGCTGCTGCTGCTGCTGATGATGATGATGATGATTGACACTCTGACCCAGCCTCTTCATCATCATCACATCATCATCCACAGAGGCTGCGCCTCCTCTCCCACCAAATGCCCCATCCCCTCCAGTTCCTGCACTCCTGTCCCATTGCCACCGCCGTCACCTCCGCCACCCATGTCAGCCCTTACGAAGGCAAAGAATAGGCTTAGTTGGGGTGAGAAGAGACGGGGGCTTGTGAAAAGTCAGCCCCGTTCCATGCAACTTCCAGGAAGGATCATTCTGGTTTTGTACATTGGTCTCCGTGAGTTGGGCTAGTGTGCGTCACTTTGCACTGTCTGCAAAGTCAGGTCAAAGTCAAAGTCATCGGTGTTAGGGTGACTGAATTGAGGACCTCTTTATAAAGAGGCAAGTTGCATTTATTTCATCCCCTCTCTATAGGCACAAAGTACTTGTCCCAAAATTTAGACTCTTGGGGGAGTAAAAAACTCAGCTTAGGCCCAGGGTCCCAGGCTGAATTCTGCATTCCAGTCTAAGCAGGGGAGCCTGCCCACAGAGCCATTGCACCCCTACCGACCTGGCCCCTTAGAGACCAGCATTCTGTGTCCAGCCCCGTGGTGTCCCTCGGGGATAGGCCCTGAGATGGCCCCGGGGCTGGATGGGAAGTGTCAGAAACTGGCCCCCTGGCCCCCAGCTCCCTTCACGGACACACGCATCCAATTCCAATTCACACAGAAACCAAACTAAGAAAAACATCTTACCCCTGAGGATAGGAACATGCAAACGAGGTGAAGCAAAACAAAAGAAACCTGTCTGCCCTGTCTTCAACGGGGAGGACTATTTACCTCTCTCACGTTAATGACATCTCCGGATAAGTATTTCCCCTAGGGGGCTGCTTCTGGCACCTCCCAAACCTCCTGCCATTAAGGGAGGAGGGATGTTGCCCTCTTTCTTCTATCCTGGCTCTGCCTGTTGTCAGCCAAACCTAATGCCCAAGAGTTATCTCTTCCGCAGGTGGATCCAGAACTGAGGATCTTGCCCCATTTCCCCTCAAAAATACACTCACTGTTGAATTAAAGGGTCCCCATGGGGATTTTTTCAAATAATCTTGTGAAATTCCATGTTGATATTATTACCTACCTTCCTTCTACTTCATGAGCACCTAGATTTGGAACTTCTAAAAATACTCTGACGGTCCACAGCTCAATATTTGGGGAAGCCAAGTGGTCAGCACATCAGATTGTCCCTCAGTTGGCAAAAAGAGCCTTCTGTGTCCTTCACCCACTTCTGTTCCAGCTCATATGGGTTCCCCATGGAGCCTGGGTGAGGGACACAGGCAGGATCTGAGTGAATTATTCAAGGTCGATTTGCAGAAAAATCCCTTTAATGTCTGAGAGATCTTGATCAATCCTTCCCATAATGAAACATTAATATCATCTTATTCTTTTTGGGGTGCATTAGCTTCACAGTGTGTGCACGGAGCACCGTCATTCCTGAAATTCTATCCCATGGTTCAATGATCATGTCCCCCTGCAGTTTCGTTTCTAGCTGATGCTTCTTGATTTTTAATAGTTCAAACTTTTAATTTTGATATAATATTATTCAGTGAAAAAGGAATTATAGCAGTTGTATATTACTGTGAATTAGATCCATTAACAATTAAAAATGGTCCTTTGTCACATTAATATTTCCTTGGATTTTACTTTCATGCAATTTTCTTCTTCTTCTTTTTTTTAAAGGATTTTATTTATTTAATTCATGAGAGATACAGAGAGAGAGAGGCAGAAACACAGCCAGAGGGAGAAACAGTCTCCCTGTGGGGAGCCCGATGTAGGACTCGATCCTGGGACCCGGGGATCACCCCTTGAGCCGAAGGCAGAGGCTCAACCACTGAGCCAGCCAGGTGTCCCCAAGGGGCACCTTTTAAAATAGCCATTTAGAGTTAAATCTGAGAAAAGTTAGTGACCTCCTCTCCAACCACCTTATAAGTAACAGGTACTTCCCACCCTGCTGCTGTCTGTCCCCCACCTGCTCATAACCTGGGATGAGATCTTCCTGAGCTCACTGTCCCGATTCTGGGATCTAGAGGCACTAAGTCTGGTGACTCCATTTCCTTTGAGTGGGTATGTCGAAATTTCACCTTTAGTCCAAATGACCGGGTGGGTCTCATTTTCCCAAAGTGGGAGCTTGGATGCTGAGGGAGCTCCTGCCCAGCCTGAGGTGTCCCCTCATTCAGCAGGTCATGATCTACATATTCCTAATTCCATACTCCAGCTCCAGCTTCTGAGCACACAGTGGGCTACTGTTATGCACTGAACTGTGTCTCTTGAAAAGTCTTGTTTTGAAGCCCTTATCCTCAAGGTGACTATATTTAGAAAAGGGATCCTTAGGGAGGCCACTAAGGATAAATGAGGATAAGGCACCAATAGGACTGGTGTCTTTATAAGAAGAGGCAGAGACACCAGATCTCTCTCTCTCTGTGCCCCTGCCCGACCCCCCAGCCAGAGCTCATAGAGAAGAGACCACATGCACACACAGCCAGACGGCAGCTGTCTACCAGCCAGGAAGAGGGACTTCACCACAAATCAAAACTGCTGCCACTTTGATCTGAGACTTCCAGCCTCCAGAAGTGTGGGAAATAAATTTCTGTTTTTGAAGCTTCCTGGTCTGTGGTATTTGATCATGGCAGCCTGAACTAATATAGCCACTTTAAAAAGAAAAAAAAAAAGGATTTTGTTTTGAAATTAGTTTAAAAATTTTTGTTTATTTTTGTTTTGTTTGTCTGTTTCAAGTAGGCTTCACACCCAGCATGGAGTCCAGTTCGGGGCTTGAACTCACAACCCTGAGATCAGGACCTGAGCTGAGATCAAGAATCAGGCGCTTAACCCACTGAGCCACCTAGGCACCCCAGTTTAAGAATTTTTAAAGGAGAGTCAAATATAATTGCCCTGCATTTTTTTCGCTACTATTTTCTTTTTAATACCTTCCTGACAGCACCCCCATCTCCCGCCTTTCCTGGAGAACTAAGTGGCATTTTTTTTCTCTTTGCAGCTCTACACAACATATTTTACATGCATCTGGCAATTAAAACGATGGAGAGGTCACCTGTAAGTCACTGGAATAGAGGAGGTGGTTGAAGTCATGAGAAGATCCAACCTCCCGAAGAAGAAAGAGGAGAAGAACCTCAAGCCAACAAGGACTTGGATGAGCCTTGGAGAATGTGGACACTCGCTGGGGAATGGGGCTGTAACAGAGGGGGCTGGGTGCCCTGGCACAGGAAACCATGCACCCAGAGGGGAGAAGGAGCTTCCTTCTGGAAGGCAGGGCTGCTTACTGTCTCCAAGGCTGCAGGGGGTCCATGCAAGATTAAATTAGGAAAAGATCCTGAGGTTTGTCGCCCTGACAGCACTAGGGAGTCTTGAGGAGTTATCTTTTAGCTGAGTGCTGAAAAACGTATTATAAGTAAACTAGACTGTTTTTCCAGGACATTGAGCAGGAGAGGAAAGAAAGAGGCTTAGAGTTTCTGGTGACAGCTGATACCAGGCTATGGAAGAGACGGGGACTCGAGTATCAATAAGGCAAAGTGGAGACAACACCCTTGATGGAGCATGGTCCCAAAGACAGACACCCCCGAAGAATAAAGACTCTTCTCCCCTCACTGCTAACTTGAGGGTAAGCATTAAGCATGGAGAATATAATAGGTCAGAGTCCATTAAGCTTCCCCTGCTGGTATGGAGGGCTCAGAGCAAGGATTGCCAGAGCAATCTTGGGGAAAAACAATCATGTGCACAGGAGGGAATGGGGTCATTGGCAAGTCAATGTCAGCCATATTGAAATCTGCTAAATCAGTGGGTGAACCAGAAGAGTCTAAAGATGGATGAACTCAGCATTTGGGGATGGCAAGCCTCATATTTCTCCCTGTTTGTGTCTCACAATCCTTCCGTGAGATCTTTAATTTGACCATAGGACAAGAGTGTCAACACAACAGACCATAAAAGTGACATCACTGCGGGAGTTCCTCTCTCTGGGACACTCCATCTCCCACTCTGAGTAATTCCTTGAAAATGTGCCCCCTTTATTCCTGGAGAAAGGCTTCTTGCCTGAATCCTGCCCCCTTCCCCACAAGTAGGGAACTGTGTAGGACAAGCTATAAGGAAATATCCAATCACCCCTTTCCTGGAGGTGAAAGGCAGCCCCCCAGGACCTGCCCTCCGACCCTCTGTAGTCACAGGAGGCTTCCAAGCAGAAGCCATCTGAAGTCCAAGGGAGTATGGGGAGGAAGGGGTCAGAAAGGCCTGGAATGCTAGGCTGTCTGAGATACTCCAAAACCAGCCAGTTAGCTTTTAAAATAGTCACAAGAGGGGATCCCTGGGTGGCTCACTGGTTCACCACCTGCCTTTGGCCCAGGGCATGATCCTGGAGTCCCGGGATTGAGTCCTGCATCAGGCTCCCGGCATGGAGCCTTCTTCTCCCTCTGCCTGTGTCTCTGCCTCTCTCTCTCTCTCTCTCTCTCTCTCTCTCTCTCTGTCTATCATGAGTAAATAAATAAAATCTTTTAAAAAATAAAATAAAATGGTCACAAGAATTGCATAATTCTAAGAAGTAGTTTTACATGTAAGATCACATCAAATTCGGATGTCTTTAAATTCTAATGAAAACACATATACATCATTTAGATTACTAGAAGCTGAAAGATCTGTATAGTTCGATTGAAAACATATCTAAAAAACTAAAAAGTAATACAAACTCCAAACAAGTAATCATCCTAGGTGAGAACTCCTAACATCTGACATTTGAATGAGAAAAAAAGTAATGTGTGTACCTTGACTCCTGGAACAGGGGCTCCATGAAGTGTGAGACCAACCCCTTCATAGCCTTGTAGCTCACGAGCCAGTGAGTCTAAAAAGATGTTCTTTTGGCTCAGTGAGTGGGTGTCGACAGCAGTAGGTCTCTTATACGGGCAAACTCTCTGCCTCTAAATTATCTCAGTGGCCTGGGATATTCACCACGTTTCCTTT